GCCAGAGGGGCAGATTGAGGCGAGGCTCGCTGGACTAGCGCTACCACGCATGGAGGCGCCGACCCACGGCCCCGCTGAGTTTCGACGCCTGCGAGCTACTTTTGATGGAGCAGACAGCGGCGATTTTGGCCCAGCGTTCAAGCGCCCTCACACCTCCACAGAGCACGCGGGGTCAGGCGGCGCGCCTCCGAGGGTAGCATCGCGCGACCCTAAGGCGGCGCCCAGCAGTGAACCGACGGTCAGGTCTAAACCAGTAGGAGCTAGGCAACGTTCGAGGTTCGCTCCCAGTGAAGCGATGCAGACCTTCATCTTCGCCGAGAGGATCAAGCGCAAGGAGGCTGACAAAGAGATCCACTGGATGGCCATTGTGGAGTCCGACAGGGAGCTCCACCGGAGGCGGTGGCCAAGCAGTGGAGCGAGCGGCAGAAGTGCGGATCCTTCCGCGCGTTCTCCATCGAGGAGTCCGAGGCGGTCAGGGACAGGGTCAAGGCCAGCTTATTCTTCCCAGCCGGTTCGCGCACCGGGACAAGAACGCGCCGTTGAGGACCGACGGGCGCCCACTGCCGGTCAAGGCTAAGGCTGGGCTATGCGTCGGAGGTCATATGGGCCAGCGCCTGGCCCAGGGTTACTTGAGCTCAGCCGTGCTGTTCTTCGCGCTCTGCCAGAGGTTCGATTTGAAGATCTACGCGGCGGGCGTGGAGGCGGTTTTCATGCGAGGCGACGAGCGGCCCGGCCAGCAACCGTTCATGGCGGAGCCCCGCGAGGGCTTACCTGGTCTACACCCGAAGCAGCTGATCAATACTATGAGGGGATATTTCGGGTTAGCTACGGCGCCAAAGCAGCGGCGGGCGAAGCTCAAGAGAACATTGCTAGCGGTGGGAAAGAACATGGGCGACAACTTCGTGTTCCAACTGCGCCAGCGCGCGCTGGGTCCAGCGCTGTGCTGCAGCTGCGACAAGCTCGGGGAGTTGTACGCGGCGGTGGTAGCTCACGTGGGCGGTCTGCTTCTGGGCATCTCGCCCATGTGCCCGACCCGGTGCGACAGTTTCTACGAGCTACCGCCGTTTGCGACTGGAGAGGCTTGCCGTTCGCATTCCGTGTTAAGCCGGCGCGGCGCGACGACGAGGGCGTTCTACATCCACGATAGACCGAGTACGCGAACACCATTGACGAGATCGCGCTCAGCAAGGAGCGCAAGACGGAGCTGTCGAAGGATGCAATGGCGGCCGATTTTTTTCGGACAACCGCTCCGCTCTCGGAGCGCTGGGGTGGCTCTCATTACGGACCCGACCAGATCTAGCCACTGGGGTGGCCATGGGGCAACGCGCGCAGAACAGGCCCACTGTGTAGGATTCGCCTTAAACGAATCGGCTCATCAAGCTGGCGCGGAAGCGCGCGGACGTCGGACTGGAGTTTCCAAAGTGTTTCGTGGACCGCTTTGCGTGGTCATTTACAACGACACCAGCTGGGCCAACGCGGACGAGCCAGCTGAGGGTGACATACCGAAGCTTCCACCCTGGTGGGATCAAGCAGCAAGGGCAAGAATATCAAGATCCGCTCGCAGGCCGGCTACGCGACGTTCCTCGCGGAAGTTAAGATGCCACGTGGTGATCGCAGAAATGTCTTAGCCAGCATCTGCATATGTCTTGTTGACGTTAGTTTTACACGTCTAATTGACTTAGCTGGCATATGCACATCGCAGAAGAATGTTGCACGAGTGAAAATACACCGTGTCAGTGCTATCTGCAAGCATGCATGCTAATACGTTGACCTTGTGCCGTGCTCATGTGGTCTCAATCCTTCTCAGGGCTGTTTGAGATTGGGCGTGTCGGGGGCTATTTTTGCAGGTTCCGTTCAGCAGCCACCGATCGCCATCTATTGCAGCTATGTTTTGTATCACTGCTGATATACAGCTTCGCGGTTGTCATTGCACTATGACCCCGCTTCCCAGTATTGGGTCTACAGAGGGGGCATGGGGGAGGGGCGCCCCCCCCTGAAGGGGAAGAAGGGGGTTGGAAGAACACAACTCTGTAGGTCACCTACGCCCAGAGGGCTGGTGGGATGCACCCAGACAATGCAAGGACATTCGAGCGCGTCCGTGGCGGCATGAATAATAACAAGTGCACTGTTATGTAGAGCCGCAGTTCTGGCGATCTGCGCGCCCGCAAGATCTGGGCGTCGCTCGAGCGAGTGCGCTTTGTTCATGGATCTGCTCGCTCCATTTGGACCCGTGCAAGCCCCTTCGGAATTGTGAGGATCTCGATCGCCCCTGGCAGCCCTCGCGGACACCAGCAGATCACGCGCGCGAGAATTGCGCGAGAGTTGCGTCCGAGTCGCGGCACAGTTATGCGATGCAATCAATTATTCGCGGTGGCGCAGCGACAACCGATACACATGAAGTAGCGCGCAATGTGCGGGCCGGATTTAGTTTAAAGGGGGCCGCGACTGATGCAGCCAAGGTTTTTTGTATATGAGGTATGTGTGAGGCTTTGTGCAGTAGCAGCCGTAGTTATGGGAGACACCAAAGGCAGTGTTGCCGGCTAGTCTGTGCTAGCTAGGGTTGGGGAGTTAGTTTTTGGTACCGTCGCCTTCATATTTGGTTCAGTCGGCCTCAGCATCGTCGCCGCGCGCAGTATGCCGCAGCGCATGCCGCTCATGCGATAATGTGAACGCAGCTATGCCGGTGCTGTAATTTGGATGTATCGTCACGAATACAGCGCCATCGCGTTTTCATGCGCCGTTTGTTTAGACTGTTTCGTCCTCCCCAAGAGTGGGCTTGTAGTTCGCATGCTCGCATATTCATGGCACAACGTGCCGGCCACGAGTCCGAAGGATTGCATTGCCTCGGGGCAGGATCGCCGAATGTGGTCGGAAGACTTCGCCGAAAACTCACCTGCGCTGGCACCGCATCATCTCTGTCTCGTCGGCTCCGCGGCCGCAGAGAAACCCCCCAAAAAAAAACTACCTACGCAGGCCAAAATATTTTCGTCTTGAGCCCCACATGTCGCAAGCGACCCGCCGTTCAGGTGAGCGGATACATGTAGCGGTCGCTTCGAGGCGGGGTAGATATGTCATGGGTGGAGATGCGGGAGTTGACCGGGCCCGTTGTGGCGTTCGAACAAACTTATGTTATGGGATGTCTTTCGGGAAGTGGCCAGGCCCGCGGTGGCGCTCGAGTAACCACATGTCATGGGAGAAGTGAAGGGAGGTGGCCAGGCCCGCTGTGGCGCTCGAGCTTCCGACTTGGACACTTTGCTTGTGTGTCCTCGCCCTCCCTCATCCTTTCCTCTCATCCTCTTCCCACTTCCCCCCTCCTCCTCCCACCTCCTCCCTCCTCCTTCCTCCTTCGTCCGTCCGCCTCCCTCCTCTCTCCTCCCTCCTCCCTCATCCTCCTTCTCCTCTTCCTTCTCCCCCTCCTTTTCCTCTTTTTTCCTCCTCCCCTCTCTTCCCTGATTATTCCTCCTCTCCCCCCCTGCGTCCCTTTTGTTCTCCTCCCACCTCCTCTGTGCATCCTGGGAAGAGCCCCGTCCCCGGTAGAATCATAGCATTGGCCTGCAGATCCACAGCTCTGTGGATAGCATGATGCTTCATTTGCGGTGCCCCGCGGATCCCATTTCCCTTGGGTTCCGGGTGCGACTTTTTATTATAGATTCATTTCCGGGGAAATAAATGGATCCATTTTTTCACACAAGAAAATGGATCCGCGCTGCACAGACATAGGATCCACGAAATTCTCCCGCACCCGAAAAACACGATCCAATTGGATCCATTGACGTTTTCATATTTTTCGTCCAAGGGGAAAACACTTTCGGCCTGGTGATGATGGATTCAACACCCCCTCTCGCACTTCCACGCAGGGGCGGCGGTGACAAAACACACCCACCAGACGCACAACATGCGTATTTGCGAAAGCGTGCAAAGTGTTGGCGGGGGAGGCGCAGTTCGAAAGCCCACTTGCGCAGGCCGAGCGATTTTATGTTGGAAGCGACGCGCCGTTCAGGTGAGCGGATACATGTAGCGGTCGATTCGGGGTGGGGTAGATCTGTCATGGGTGGAGATGTGGCAGTTGCCCGGGCCCGCTGTGGCGTTCGAGCAAACTTATGTTATGGGAGGTCTTTCGGGAAGTGGCCAGGCCCGCGGTGGCGCTCGAACAACCACATGTCATGGGAGAAGTGAAGGGAGGTGGCCGGGCCCGCTGTGGTTCTCGAGCTTCCGACTTGGACACTTTGCTTGTGTGTCCTCGCCCTCCCTCATCCTTTCTTTTCATTCTCTTCCCACTTCCCCCCTCCTCCTCCCACCTCCTCCCTCCTTCCTCCTTCGTCCGTCCGCCTCCCTCCTCTCTCCTCCCTCCTCCCTCATCCTCCTTTTCCTCCTCCTTTTCCTCTTTTTTCCTTCTTCCCCCCTCTCTTCCCTGATTATTCCACCCCTCTCCCCCATTGCGTCCCCTCTGTTCTCCCCCCGCCTCCTCTTGCCTCTTCCCTCATCCTTCCCCTGTGCATCCTGGGAAGACCCCCTCCCTCGTATAATCATAGCGTTGGTATGCAGATCCACAGCTCCGTGGATAGCATGATGTTTCACTTGCGGTGCCCCGCGGGTCACATTTCCCCTGGGGCCCGGATATCATTTACTAGTATACATTTATTCCCGGGAACTAAATGAAACCATCCTTTTTAAAAACACGCAGGAAATTTGATCCGCGCAGCACAAAAAAATATCCACGAAACTCTCCCACACCTGGAAGAAAACATAATCACATTGGATCCAATAACGTTTTCATATTCTTAGTCCACGAGGAAAACAGTTTCGGCCTGGGGATGTATTGCGAGGTCTTCTTGGGTTGGCGCTGGGCGTGGCGCCTCCGCCGCAAGTGGGGTGGGGGTCAGCGCCGAACCAAGAAATCCTCCTGAACCTACAGTTTGTGCTACTGTATTTTTCTTGCTCTTCTATCTTTCGCTCGAGTCGAGAGTGCGCCTCCGCGCGCGCGTGCGGCCTGCTGACAGGCTCCCGAAGTGCCTCTAGGGCGAGGCTACGGGACCGAGGTCGACATCTGGTCATTAGGAGACGGCGGGGATAAGGACGGGAGGAACACAAGTTTGAGCAAAGGTCCAGACATTGAACACGAAATAGCTACATGATCATAATTTTCGGAGGTCCGTTCTAAGTTTTTCCCAACCATCCTATGGTGTTGAGCCCTCGTTTTGAAGAGACGGTCCCCGCGTTCACTCCTCCTGCTCCCGCTGCTCCCTCCCTCCTCCCTTCATCATCACCCATTTCGGCACATCACACGTTTCGTGGCCCCATATGGAGCTCCACCGAAGGCGCCAGTGGCGGTGTCGGCACACCCCTCACAGGCTTCGTGGCCCCATAGGGAGCTCCACCGAAGGCCCCAGTGGCAGTGTTCGCATGAGTCCCCGCCACTGATTTCGACACACCCCTCACACGCTTCGTGGCCCCATAGGGAGCCCCACAAAAGGCCTCAGTGACGGTGTTCACATGCGTCCCCGCCGCCGATTTCGGCACACCCCTCACACGCTTCGTGGCCCCATAGGGAGCCCCACAAAAAGGCCTCAGTGACGGTGTTTGCATGCGTCCCCGCCACCCATTCCGGCACATCCTTCGCACGTTTCGTGGCCCCATACGGAGCCCCATTGGAGGCCTTACCAACTATTTCGGCACACCCCTCACACGTTTCGTGGCCCCACACGGAGCTCCACCGAAGGCCCCAGTAGCGCACCCACCACCCATTTCGGCACACCCCGCACACGCTTCGTGACCGCGTAGGGAGCTCCACAGAAGGCCTCAGTGGCGGTGTTCGCATGCGTCCCCGTCACCCATTTCGGAACACCTCCACCGAAGGCCCCAGTGGCCCAGCGGCGGTGTTCGCATGCGTACCCGCCACCAACTTCGAGAAATCCCTCACACATTTCGTGGCCCCATGAAGAGCTCCACAGAAGGCCCCAGTGGCGGTGTTCGCATGCGTCCCCGCCACCCATTCCGGCACACCGCTCAAACATTTCGTGGCCTCGTGGGGAGGTCCACCGAATGATCCAATAGCGATGTTCTCATGCGTCCCCGCCGCCCCCTCTCGGCTTACCCTCTCATAGGATTCGTTGCCTCGTAGGGAGCTCCACCGAAGGCCCCTGTGGCTGTGTTCGCGTGCGTCCCCGCCACTGATTTCGGCACACCCCTCACACGTTTCGTGGCCCCATAGGAAGCTCCACCGAATGTCCAATGGAGGTGTTCGCATGCGTCCCTGCCGCCGATTTCGACAGTCTGCTCACAGGCTTCGTGGCCCAATAGGGAGCTCCACCGGAAGGCCCCAGTGGCGGTGTTCGCATGCGTCCCCGCCACTGATTTCGGCACACCCTTCGCACGTTTCGTGGCCCCATAGAGAGCCCCATTGGAGGCCCAAGTGGCGGTGTTCGCAAGCGTACCCGCCACCCATGTCGGCACACCCCTCACACGTTTCGTGGCCCCATAGGGAGCTCCACCGAAGACGATACCCACAACTGCGTCACTCACAACTGCATATTGTTGGGTCCTTAGCCTGGCGAAGGACCCAACCATGTGCAGTTGTGGATACCGCAGTTGTGGGTATCGCCTCGGTGGAGCTCCCTCTGGGGCCACGAAACGTTGTAATGGGTGGTGGAGACGTATGCGAACTGCGCCACTGGGACCTTCGGTGGAGCTCCCTCTTGGACCACGAAATGCTCTACATCCTCTGGTGTTGGGTCCTCATTTTGAAGAGACAGCGCCCCGCGTTCACTCCTCCCGCTGCCCCCTCCCTCCTCTCATCATCAGCATCGTCATCACCCGTTTCAGCACACCCCTCGCACGCTTCTTGGCCCCATAGGAAGCTCCACCGAAGGTCCCAGTAATTACCTTTCGCACGCGTCCCCCCCACCCAGTACAGCCCTTCGTGACCCCGTAGGGAGTTCCACCGAAGGTCCCGGTGCTACCGCCTGCATGCGTTCCCCCCCCACCCAGTGCAGCGCTTCGTGGCCCCATAGGGAGCTCCGCCGACGGCCCCAGTGCTACCGCCCGCATGCGTTTCCCCCACCGAGTACAGCGTTTCGTGGCCCCATAGGGTGCTCCACCGACGGCCACAGTGCTACCGCCCGCATGCGTCCCCCCCACCCAGTACAACATTTTGTGGCGCCGTAGGGAGCTACTCCGAAGGACCCAGCCTACCGCACGCATGCGTCCCCCCCAACCAGTACATCGTCTCGTGGCCCCACAGGAAGCTCCACCGAAGGTTCCGGTGCTACCGCCCGCATGCGTCCCCCCCCCCCACCCAGTTCAGCGCTTCGTGGCCCCATAGGGAGCTCCACCGACGGCCCCAGCGCTACCGCCCGCATGCGTTCCTCCCCACCCAGTGCAGCGCTTCGTGGCCCCATAGGGAGCTCAACCGAAGAAGATGTTCACAATTGTGGTACCAACAACTGCATATGGTGTGGTCCTTCGCCAGAATAATTTGGGTCAGCGTTGGACCCGCCACTGAACGGCGCCTCAGGTACTGACCCAGGCGCGCTTGACCTGCCAGCGTAGGGGGGGGAACATAGATTAGGGTCGACCCAAGAAATCCGAGCGGACCTCCGGAAGTGTATGTTGATGCCGGTTTTGTTTTCCCAGGGCGAGCTCCAGAGTGCCAGACAACATGCGTGTCTTGGTGTCGTTCGGACGTGTAGGTCATGTGTTTGTAGTTCTCATCATGGATATATTCATCGGCCTGGGAGCCGTGCAGGCCTCTTTACGGAGCTGCGGGGATTCCGATTGTCTACGTATGGCAACGCTCGCGGACAACCAGACACGCACCCGAACGTGCGAGCAACGGCAAGATATTCTGGAGGGGGCAGGGGCTGAAGGATCACAGAACCAGAGATAAGCGCTGAGCCAGTCGGGACCCACGTGGCAGGCGGTCGAGGTCAATGGGCTTCAGCCAATTCGCTCCTGTCCCCATCTCGCCGACTCTGTTTTGGGGGCCAAGTGGTTCCGACCTCCTTCTCCCTCCGCTGATCTGGATCTGTGGAGGCCCAGGTTGGCGACATGGCCCTGATTTTCCTGTGTTCGCGCTGACCTGGGTCAGCATATCCCCGCCCCAGACAGCATGCGTGTCTCTTTGAAGGGAGAAATGGTATTCGGGGGGCTTCGGCTAGATTGGCAGGGCTGCGAGCTCTTCCAGACACGTCCTCCACCCATATTTGCGACCGATAGTTAGAACAGTGTTGTGTTAGTGCCGCCTGCTATCGAACAATTCATCCCATCGATGTTGAGTTACTCAGGTTGGAGGTCTCTTAGGCCCTCTTGGGGCCATCGTGGGGCCATCCTAGGGCCATATCGGTGTATTTTCAGGCCCTCCTGGGGCTCTGTTTGGGGCTCTGTTTGGGCTCTCTTGGAGGCCATGGGAGGCCTATCGGGACCATTTTGGAGGCCACCGTTCTCAGAACGACGTATCCCTGTGTGCGTCCCGCCGTCGGGGCGCAACACTGAGCTTCCTTGGGCCTCCTCGACGCGCTTTTGAGGTACGCCCAGGCGCTCTTGAAGTCGTCTGGGGAACCACCTGGGCTCCTCTGGGGACCCTCCTGGATAATCTTAGAGCCACCGTGGGGCCTCACGAGCCCATCGGAAGCGAAAATGCGAGAAGGCTAACCACAATGGAAACCCAACGCTTTTCACATATGTTCACCTGCTGGGGGACTCCTTGAGAAGCTCCGTGGCCACTAGGAGCCGCCTTGGAGCGGACCTCAGGCCTGTTGGACACATATTGGAAAGAGAACGGTCTGTGGTCGCTTGGAGGGGGTGGTGGTGTTTGGAATCGGACCACCCCCCCTGGATTGAAGGGGAGGGGGTTCGAACCCCCACCCCCCCTGGATCCCCCCCCTCATCCCTCCTCCACTCCTCCTCCTCTTTCCCTCCTCGGGCAGGCGGCGGCGGCGGGGAGCGCCGACGAGGATTGCGTCAGAGTCCACTGGATGCTCTCTGGCGTCTCTTGGGGACTCTGTGAGGTGGAGGTGGTGGTGGATTGTGGTGGTGGTGGTGGTGGTGGCGGTGATGGTGGTGGACGTGGTGGTGTTTGGTGGTGGTTGGTGGTGGTGGTTGGTGGTGGTGGTTGTTGTGGTGGTGGTTGTGGTGGTGGGCGTGGTGGTGATTGGTGGTGGTGGTTGTTGTGGTGGTGGCTGTAGTGGTGGTATGGTGGTTTGTGGTGGTGGGGGTTGTAGTTGTGGTGGTGGGTTGTTGCGGTGATGTTGGTGGATATGGTGGTGTGGTGGTTTGTCGTTGTGGTTGTGGTAGTGGTCGTGGTTGTGGCGCGAGGTGGGTTGTGGTGGGGGTGTCGGTGGGGGCGGTGGTGGTGGTTGTGGTGATGGTGGTGGTGGTGTGGTGTGTTGTTGTGGTTGTGGCGGTGGTGGTGGTGATGATGGTGGTGGTGGTGGTGTGGTGGTTTGTGTTGGTGGTTGCGGTGGTGGGTTGTGGTGGTGGTGGTAGCGGTGGTGGTATTGGTTGTGATGTAGTGGTCGTGGTGGTGGCGGTGGGTGTGGTGGTGGCAGGTTGTTGTGGTGTTGAAGGTGGTGGTTGTGGCGGCGGTGGTGGTGATGTCGTGGTTTGTGGTGGTGGCGGTGGTTGTGTTTGTTTCTGCGTGGCAGGGGTTTGCTAAGAGTTTTACTTTTGTCGCCGTAATGTTGCTCAAGCTAAAAGCCCTAGCATGATTGCGGGGACCGCCACGAGCAGTGCGATCGCCGCCTTGTGCCTGGCGGCTGGCGTGCTGCTCCACCCTGCCAACTGGGTCGGCGAGGGGTGGTGCTCGGGCGGTCTCACTGGGGTCATCTGGACGTCCAGTACTACCAGCACGACCGAGACCAGCGTGACCTGGACGAAGGCGGTCGTCTACGCTCCGCCCCCTTGCCCTCCGCCCGTGCCCCTTGAGTGCCCGCAGGACGGGCCAGAGAGCTTCCAAGTCCTGGGCGAGGGCGTGACAGGCTCGACGGTGGAGATCCCCAGCTGGCTGCTGCTGCTGGCACGGCGGCGGGAAGGCAGGGCTGGCCTGGGGCGCCTGGCGCTGCTGCTCTCGGAGGGCGAGTGACCTTCGCCGGAGGCAACCTCTAGGCGAGGCCCGCCTGCAGATCAAATGATTCGCCTGCCGCCGAGGTTGCTCTTCGAGACGGTCGCCCACCCCAGGCCGGGGTCCAGGGGGCTGGTCACGTACTCGAGCGACCCTGGCTGGGCCCACGAGAGGCTCTTCCTGTGGCCCGTCCCGCCCGACTCAGACGGTTGCCACTGGGCCAGCTATGTCTACACGCCTGGGGGTGATTTCTCCGTGGAGCAGGAGATCCTACAGCAGCTCGGCCCTGCTCACAGGGCGGAAGGGATACTCGGCGGGCGTCCCTCAGGTGGTGGCGTTCAGCCAGGCCCTGGAGCCGGACGAGGTGGCTGAGCTTGTCACGAGGGCGCGCGCCGAGGCCGTCGTGATGACAGGGAGTGAGGGGCCCGATCCCAGCGTGCCTGACGCGGCGGACTGGAGGGGGGGCCGGCTGGACCTTCCAGCCTACTCCCCGGTGCAGGCGCCGCGCCTCAATGCCTCGGCCGCCGGCTCCGAGGCAAGCAGGCCACCATGCCCCTCCCCGTCGGCGACGTCGAGGGGGCGGGGGCTGCTCTCGTTCCAGCGTCGGAGCCAGCCGGCGGCACGCCCACCCCCTTGCCAGAGGCCGCCGATGGGCGCGGCTGGCTGTGCAGCAAATTGGCCTGCTGGGACGGAGCCTTCGCCTTCGGCACCGAGCTGCGACCTGGCCAACCACCGTATGTCGGGCTGCGTGGGCGAGGCGAGTACGGCATCGCCACTGATCGCAGCGGAGGTCACCACCCTGTGGAGCTCGTCGAGCTCGGTCGCGTGTCAGAGTGGCGCGAGGCCAAGCTGCAGGGGGCCTCCCGGCTCCGAGGCGGTGGCGACCCGCTCGAGAAGAGGCTGCTCGACGACGGGCCACCTCGGCCGCCCGCGCCGGTGCCCTCCACGGCCCGAGCCGAGGCGGCCGAGGTCGACGACCTCCGCACGTGCTGGATCGTCTACGACGACGCGGGGGCCAGGTACAAAGAGTGGAGGAAGGCTTCCTCCACTCTTTGTGCCTGGCGCGGTTGCGCCAGGATGTTGCTCCGAACTGCCCACTCTACGGCTCCGTTGTGCCAACTTGGTTTTGCGTGGCGCCCCTCCCGATGGGAGATTCCATTGTTGTTACGCATCGTTGCGCAATTAAGTGCGGTTGGTTGTGTTTTGAGCGGCCTCTTGCTGTCTCAGCAGCGGTTTGGTTGCCCCCCCCCCGCTTCCGCCACCCCCAAGTGGAGCTGCATGGGAAGCTGCAGCAGGAGGCCACTCAGGAGAGCGTCCAGACAGCTGGGCTCAGAGGGCCCCCAGTGTGCCCCCCCGTGTGCAGGAAGTTCCACAAGCACGGCGGGACGCCCGCGGCCTGGTTCGCCGAGTGGGCTCGCGATGTCGGCATCTCGCGCGAGGACCGGGCCTGGCATGAGGTCGAGTGCCTCATCGAGTGTCTCTGGCTGGCTGGCAGCTACGACCAGCTGAACGTGGGGGCCGTCGCGGCCCTGGAGGTGGTCGCCGGGCGGCTGCTGCAGCACGTGGGGGCCTACGCGAAGGGCGCGGACAATCCCAACTGGAGCGCGGCCAAGCACTGCAGCGCCACCTCCTCGGCCCTGGACCTCGTCCCCGAGGAGATGCGCATGTGCGCCGCGCGCCAGGCGAAGGACGAGCTGGAGCTGGAGAGCCTCCGCGTCCGCGCCCGCGCGCCCCACTCGGGGGCCGCCCCGGGCGCCGACGCCGCTGCCGCTGCCGCCCTCGCGGGGGGGGCCCCCTCGCAGGCGGAGGGCGACCACGCCGGCGGAGGCAGAGCAGGAGGAGGGAGAGGCAGAGGCGGCCGCGGGCGAGGCGCGCGGCCGCCGGCCACATGACGCTGGGCGCCCAGGGCGACGATGGCCCGACCGTCGCCCGCGAACCCCACAGGGCTCGTGCCTTCCTGCCACTCCCTCCTCTGAGCGTCGCGGGCATCCCCGCGGCCGCCACGGGCGGGAGGCGCAGGCGGCTGCTGCGAGACATCAACGCGGCCATCGAGGCGCTGAATTGGATGCGTGGAGGGGATCATCGGCCTGCCCCACGGCAGATATCGGCGCCCACTGAGAAGAAGATTTTGGGCCTACAAGCTGATGTGCGGCAGCGCGTCGTGGAGGCGGCCTCCCGCTGGTGCGACGTTGACAGCGCCGACGGCGAACGTGGGGCCTTGGCCAGGCTCTTGAAGGAGCGCTCGGGGCATGCGCCGGCGCCTTCATGCAGTGTCGGGCCCCACGAGTACTCGAAGGTATCCATGCCGAGTGACTTGCATGACTCGCCGTCACTCATCTCGATGTTGCCTTCGGAGGCGAGGAAGTACTTCGAGGATTTTGAGAAGCTTATGCTCCGGCCCGCGCAGGAGTCGGAACAAGTGGCACGCGTGCCCTGGCTCTTGCACAAAGAGGCTGCGAAGGTCAGGAGGCCCCCGCTTTCGTCTTTCAGGAGGAGTTCACGAGGGGCCAGAAAGAAAGTGGAGGAGGAGGAGGAGGAGGTGGACGACGACGACGAGGACAACAACTACGAAGACGATGATGACGACAGTCGTCGGCGGCGCCCCGCCGCGCGGCTCGCCGCCCGCGGTCGCCGCCGCGGCGCCGCCGCAGGGGGGGGGGCAGTCCCGGAGGCTCGGGGGGTGGGGGGGCGGGGGGGGGGGCGCGGCCCAGGGGGGCCAGAGGGGAACCACAACGACGACAATAAATGTGTTCGAGCTCTAGAACTCAGCTTTGCAAGAGAATAAACGGTTCCGTGGCCCAGGGGGGCTGCCCTAGGAAGCCTGGGCGGAGGGGGGCCTCCCAAAGGCTCCCACGGGGGGGGGGGGGGGGGGGGCAGAGGGGCTGGGTCTCAAGGGGAGGGGCCCAGGGGGCGAACGAAGCACGACGACAGTAATGATGTCCGAGCTCTAGAGCACAGCTGTGCAAGAGAATAAAGGCTTCGGCGGCCCAGGGGGGCCGCCCTGGGAGGCTCGGGGGGGGGCTCGGGGCAGGGGGGCCTGGGGGCTCGGGGGGGGGGGGGCCCAGGGGCGACGAAACGCGAAAATAAATGCTTCGGCGGCCCAGGGGGGCACCACGAAAAAAAGCTTCGGCGGCCAGGGGGCTGCCCCCGGGAGGTTCGGGGAGCTGCCCTGGGAGGCTCGGGGGGGGGGCTCAGCGGCCCAGGGGGGATGCCCTGGCTGGGAGGCTCGGGGGGGCTGCCTTGGGAAGCTCGGGGGGAGGCTCGGGGCAGGGGGGTCTTGGGAGGCTCGGGGGGGGGGGGGGTCCAGGGACGACGAACCACGAACGAACCGCGAAAATAAAAGCTTCGGCGGCCCGGAGGGGCTGCCTTGGGAGGCTCGGAGGGAGGCTCGGGGCAGGGGGGTCCTGGGAGGCTCGGACGAGGGGCGGGTCCAGGGACGACGATCCACGAACGAACCACGAAAATGCATGCTTCGGCGGCCCAGGGGGGCTGCCCTGGGAGGCTCGGGGGGGGCTCGGGGCAGGGATGCCCTGGGAGGCTCGGGGGAGGGGTGGGGTCCAGGGGCGACGAACCACGAACGAACCGCGAAAATACATGCTTCGGCGGCCCAGGGGTGCCCGGGAGGCTCGGGGGGGGGGGGGTCCAGGGACGACGAACCACGAACGAACCTAGAAAATAAAGAGGTCCGAGCTCTAGAGCACAGCTGTGCAAGATACTTAATTCAACAGTATGAAGGGGTGCCGGGCTGTCATACCGACCCGGCGCTGCAGAGGGATCCTCGTACCTACGGCCGCACCCGGCCTGCGTGCTGGGCGTCTTTTTCGTCGCCAAGAAGGCCGACAAGGTCAGGCTGATCGTCGACTGCCGGCGAGCCAACCAGCTGTTCGAGAAGCCTCCCGGGGTCGCCCTCCTGAGCGGCGAGGGGCTGTCCAGGGTGGAGATCGACGACCCCGAGAACCTCCTGGAGGGCCTGCCGGTCCACCTCGGCGTCGGGGACGTCGCGGACCTCTTCCACAGGACGAGGTTGGTGAAGACGGCGGGGGGCGACATTCGGCGTTACTTCTGCTGGCCGCCCCTCGCGTCCAAGTACGCTGGCATCTCCGAGGTCGACGGCGCGGCTGTAAGGCCGGGCGAGAAGATCTGGCCCATGTGCGCGAGCCTCCCGATGGGTCTCTCGTGGTCGCTGCATTTTGCCCAGACCGCGAACGCCCAGCGCCTGGGTCGCCAGCCCGCGCTGCGGCAGAGCCAGGAGATCTCGGACCGGGGGCCCCCCCTGGTCCTCGGCGGGCCGTCGGCCTCGGCAGGATCAGGCCACTACATGTGCGTCGACAGCGCTGGCGTGCTCTCCTTTGACGGCGACCTGGTGGGCCGCGCTCTGGCAGAGGAGGCCCAGAGGGACTTCGACGCCGACGCGCTGCGCTTCCACGAGATGGAGGTCTTCGACCACGGCGGGCCCTCCCTGGGCTGGCATCTTGACGGCGACGCCCGAGTCGCCCGGCCCAGCGACAAGCGCTTTGTTCTGGTGCGCCGCGGCGTCCGGGCGCTGCTTCGGCCGAGGAAGGTCTCTGGCTGGCAGGTCGAGGCCGTCCTCGGACACGTCGCTTTCCTGTGTCTGATGCGTCGGGAGCTCCTCTCGATCTTCCACGCGGTGTATCGTTTCGTTCGGGGGTCCTGCGCGAAGTCCCAGCGGCTGTGGGACTCGGCTCGGGAGGAGCTCAGAGCTTTCCTCGGGGCCATGATCTTCGTCGAGGCCGACTGGGGCCAGCCTTGGACGCCCTGCGTCCTACGCCAGCGACGCGAGTCTCCACGGCCTCGGCGCGCCCCAGTCCCTCTGGTCGCTTCGTGGCGTGGCCAAGGTCGGGCGCGTGCCGGAGCTCAGTCGCCACCGCCTGGGCGGCACCCGGGCCCGCGAGCACGCCGTCGAGGTCGCCGGCTTCAAGGTGGGCCCTGAGAGCGGCGACGTGGAGCGCGACTTCCTCGGCCAGCCCGCGCGGCTCGACAGAGAGGCGAGGGAGATCCTGGAGGCGGCGCGGCGGGGGCACAATGAGGATTTTGCTGAGGTGCCCAGCCGCCTCCTTGCCGGCGACCGCTGGCACGCGATTCTCGCTGATCGTTGGCTGCGTGCCGACGACATTTTGCTCCTCGAGGCCAGGGCGGCGGTCAAGGCCGGAGCTCGTGCCCTGCACATTGGGGCCGTGAAAAACTGTCGCGCCCTTTTCCTCGGTGATAACCTGGCCATCACGCTTTGTTTTGCTCGGGGGAGGTCGAGGGATTACAGGGTGCCCGCGCAACTAAGGCGACTCTTTAGTTTGGCCCTCGCTAGGAATGTCCGACTTTATTTCCGATGGATCCCCGGCGAGTTAAATTCTGGGGCGAGGGGAGCCGGGTCTACGATACCTTGCATGATGCTGAGAAGACCCTTGCTTCTCACCTGGGCACCGAGCTGCCTTGCACTGAGCCCGAACCTGTGGTCAGTCAGACCGATGCCTCCCCCGCCTCTGACCTGCTCCTTAGCCATTTGGGCTTCAGATCGATTACTCAGGCCGGCCCTGTTTCCGCACCGAGCCTCAGCCAGACCGATGCTGTGAGGGCCACAGATGGACCAGCGCCGGCGGCTGCCGTCGGCTCCCGGCCGCCCTCCCGGCGGACGTCCACCAGCGCCGTCGGCCCCTGCGCGCAGTCGCTGCTTGACTGCATCCCTGGCTCGGCCGAGCTCGGAGGGCCAGGCGACCCGCGTGCGCGCCTTGGCCCTGGAGCGGGGTCTGGCCAGCAGCCTGGCGTTGTGCAGCCGTACTCTGGAGCAGGGCAGGCCCGAACGTCGCGCGGGCTTCGCCCGAGCGCAGACGACGGAGGCTTTCCTGGGCCAGGTGGCGGACGAGATCCCCGGCAGGTTGGCCAGGGCGCCAGGCCCGGCCGACCCAGGCGTCCCCGCGGACATCGAGGGAGAGGACGGCAGCGAGAGCGACGACTCCTCGGACCCCGAGGAGAGGGCGGCGACAGCGGCCCGCCAGAGGGCTTTGCGGCGGCGCGGGAAGAACCACGTGCGCCAGTGCTTCAGCGCCCTGATGGGCGCGGCCCTCCTAGGGGCGCGGCTGACACCGCTGGAGGCCGCTGGAGTGAGGCTCGGTCCGTGACCGAGGCAGCTGCTACCCAGTGCCGCCAGCGCGCCCTCGCCTTCTTGAGCTGGGGCCCCTTCTCAGAGGCGGTGCTGGAGGCGCCCGCGCGCCTGAACGTCGCCCTGGCCGACTTCATGAACCGCGAGTTCGAGCAGGGTCACAAGGGCTGGAGGGGAGAGAAGCCCCTGGCGGGCATCATCTTCCATTCACCGCGCTACGGGAAGAACGGCTACGACAAGCTGCCGCGCACCCTGCGCGCGCTGAAGGGATGGCGCAGAGCGTCGCCATCTCGCTCGAGGAGGCCCTTGACAGTGGGCATGTGGGTGTCCATTGTGGTGGAGATCGCGAGGCTGGGTTTCCTGATGGCCGCAGTGCTAACCTTGATCATGGTGGAGGGGTACCTGCGCCCCGGGGAGATGCTGGGCCTGACGCCGGCATCGTTCCTGCCACCCGCCCCTGGCGGGGTGGCCACGTGGGCCCTCCTGCTCTTCCCGCAGGAGGGCAACCTGCGGTCCAAGACCGGCGAGAGCGACGACAGCATCCCCCTGGACTCGAGGAGATTCGGCTAGATGGACGCGATCTACCAGGTGTTCTCCAGGCGCCCCCAGGGCTCGGAGCGCCTCCTGGACAAGAGCTACCGCGAGTGCGCGAGCGTCTTCAGGCGCGCCGCTGCCAACCTGAACTGGGCAGTGGTGCCATATCAGGGGCGTCGCGCGGGGGCCAGCGCCGACCGCGCCGAGAACCTCAGAGCCCAAGAGTAGGTGATGAAGCGCGGGAGGTGGCAGGCTCTTCGAAGTGTCAGGAGGTGCGAGAAGGCTGGGCGCGTCAACCAGGCGCGGCGGGAGCTAGATGCCGAGGACCAGAACCACGTCTGGCTCTGCATGAGGAAGATCGAAGGGATCTTCCCACGAGGGGACGTGGCGCCCACGCCTCCATACCTCAGGCGCGGAGCGGAGCCCGATCCCAAGCGCGCCAGGCGCTCTTGAGGGCTCCGAGAATATATGTTCTCGATCTCTTTGGCGGCGGCGGCGGGCTTCGCCGAGCTGCTGCTCGCTGGGGCCTCTCCGTAGTCAGTTTGGACTTGCGGAATGCCCCAGATCAAAATCTGACCATCCGAGTGAATGTACGTTTGATTCTCAGGCACCTTGCAGAGGGCAGGGTGGTCGCGGTGATGACGGCACCGCCGTGCGCAACTTTCTCAGTCGCGCGCAACAGGTACCCTGTGCGCGACGCCTTGCACGTGCGAGGCCTGCCCAACCTGTCCTCCCTCGATGCATATATAGTGAAGGTTGGAAATGCTTGCTGAGATATATGTATCCTTGTTTTGCGGGCCTGCCGAAAGCACGGTATTCCTTGTGCCCTCGAGAACCCGCAGACCTCTAGGCTGTGGTCTGACCCGTCGTTGAATCGTACTGTGCCGAACCTCGAGAGGGTGACTATCCATCAGTGCGCCTTCGGGACCAGATATCGCAAGGCAACCGATCTTCTTTTTCTGAACGTGTCCGGCTTAGATCTACTGAAGACAGAATCCTGGAGATACCGCTGCAGCGGGAAACACGGTTGTTGCAGTTTCAGGCTTAACAAAAAAACACCTCACCCTTGAAGGTAGTTCAATGACGAGCAAAGCAGCTGCCTACCCTTCCAGGCTTTGTAATTTTCTAGCCAGCACCCTTCTTCAAGGTCATGTCTGACGCCACTCCGCCGGCCCAGGGTCCTGTCCTCGTGGGGTCCGAACCCCAGTGATTGAACACAGGGGCCTGACGCTGCGGTGTGAACTTCCGTTTTTGCGAAAGAGGTTGGATATTTAAGCCAAGCCTTCCAAGCATATGCATCGGCCGGCTCCGCCATCAATCGTTCACCGCTGTAAAAAAGAATAGCATGTTTCTGCGTGGCAGGGGTTTGCTAAGAGTTTTACTTCTGTCGCCGTAATGTTGCTCAAGTTACCCCCCCGACCTCACCCGCCTGAGCGCTCCCTGTGGGAGTAGGATATTTAAGCCTTCCAAGCATATGCATCGGCCGGCTCTGCCATCAAACGTTCACCGCTGCAAAAAGAGTAGCAGTGGTTTGTGGCGGCTGTGGTGGTGGTGTGATGGTTGGTGGTGGTGGTTGTTCTGGGTTGTGGTGGTGATAGTGGTGGTGGTGGTGGTGGTTGTGGCGGTGGTGGTGGTGGTGGTGGTGTGGTGGATTGTTGTGGTGGTGGTGGTAGTGGTGTTGGGTTGTGGTGGTGGTGGGTGGTTGTGGTGGTGGTGGCTGTGGTGGTGGTGGTGGTAGTTGGTGGTGGTGGTGGTGGTGGTGATGGGGTGTGGTGGTAGTGGTGGTATTGGTGGTGGTGGTGGCTGTGGTGGTTTGTCGCGGTGATGATGGTGTGGTGGTGGTGCTACTGGTGGTGCTGTGGTGGTTTGTGGTGGTGGGGTTCGTGGGTTGTGGTGGTGCTGGGTTGTGGTGGCGGTGGTGTTGGTGGTTGTGGTGGCGTGGTGGTTTGTGGTGGTGGTTGTGGTGGTTGTGCTGGGTTGTGGTGGGGTGTGGTGGTGGTGTTGGCGGTTGTGGTGGCGGTGGTGTATTGGTTTGTGGTGGTGGTGGTGGTGGGTTGTGGTGGATGTGGTGGTGGTGGCGGTGGTGGTGGTGGTGTGGTGTTTTGTGGTGGTGGTGGTGGTGTGGCCTTCGGGTCTTCCCGCCACCGTGTCTTGGCTGTGGGTTACAATTTTAATTGGGTTTCGGGGGCGCTTGCGGAGCATATGTGGGGCCTCCTGGGCGCCTCTTGGGCGTCCCCTGGAATTTCCTAAGGGCTCCCGGTGGCTTTTGGAGGGCGAGGGCTTGATATGGCGATGTGTATGTTCCCGCTGCGGCCTGTGGGCTCTCTCTGGTCATCGTCGCGGCATCCCCGCCGTTGGTGCTGCCGGCCGCCGCCAGCGCAGGCGCCAGTGCCCGCGCCGAGCGGGGGGGTTCGAACCCTCCCTCTTCTGGGAAGCTGGAAGAGAAAATACCAAGGGAGTTAGAATCTCCTGCTCCAGTCCCGGGGGGGTGGCTGGACCGCATGTCGGCCCAATCCCAACCGACTGGTCCCAATACCAACCGACTGATACCAATCCGAAAAGCAAAACTGGTCCGAATCTTAACCAATGAAAGACAAACCCACAATACGAAACGATATAGACAGCGGTTCAAGACAAGTGTAACATCCAAGTGGCACTTCTTCTGTCACCGCATGTAAATATTCTGGAAGCCAACATACGTGCCAGAGTTGGAATTGGCACCACATCGGTCTTCGCAAGAACAGTATGAATAACGGTTTGTGGTAGTAACAATCACAGAACCGGTCGTACTCGAATAGCGGATTCCACAAAGCAGTAGTAGCAGTAGAAGTTGCAATAGTGATAAGAGTAGTAGTAGTAGCAGTAGTAGTAGTAGTCGTAGTAGTAGTAGTAGTAGTAGTAGTAGTAGTAGTAGTAGTAGTAGTAGTAGTAGTAGTAAGTAGTAGTAGTAGTAGTTAGTAGTTAGTAGGAGTAGT